TCTGTTTCTTTCTCTGTAGGTGGTTGAGATTGTCATTTCGTTTTGTTGTAGTCATATGTTTCAGAACTGTTCTGCCTGTCTTTCCTTCACATGCACATAAAAGTGTATGGATATCATCGGAGAATAAATCAGTCTGATCTTGGAGCTGACGGCAATGTTCTAGTTGCTCAAAAAAACTTTTAGTTTGATCACTGAAGGTGTGGTCTGGGGTATCCGGGACAGTGTTTTGGTCTTGGAATCTTCATTAAAAATTATTGTTCCCAGACATTTAAAGCTACAGACAGTCTCAAGTTTTTGTTGTAATGTCTATGGTAATGTCAGTGCTAATGCCATTAGAGTTCCTTGTCATCAACTGGGTCTTCTCTGCGCTGATCTGCATGCCATAAGCCATAAGATATAATGGAGGCCTCTTCAAGATGATTTTCCAAGTTGGCCAACTCTTGCTCTTGTCCAGCTAGGCCGTTGATGTCAACGACAAAACATAAGTTTATAAGAGGGGGGAAAAAAGAAGTAGCACCTACCAGTGGCACCCTCCAACCACTGGCGAAGAGGAGTTGGTGGAGGAGTCAGAGTAGGAGGACAATTCCTGACTGTTCTTTCATCATTATCAAGTGCGTCAGTGGTTATTCTCTCTATGATGCTGAAGAGTGTGTGGAACAGCAGACATCCTTGGCATACCCCAATTGTGGTTCAGAACCATTCATCTATGTTGTTGTTATGATAGACTGCACTGTTCACCTTTTTGTCATATGTAGAAACATTCTACGGTTCTGATCAGGTTGGGTTGATGTTATACAGCCTCATGGTTGCCCATAAAGTTGCATCAGCATGCCAAACTTCAACGCCTTCATTAAGTCCATTATGATGTGGTAAAGGTTTTACTGGTGTTCCAAGTACTTCTCACAGTGTATTCCAATTTAAAATGAGCTCAGTTGTGTTCTTCCCTGCTCTGAAACCTGCCTGTTTGTGATGAGTTCACACATCTTCTCTGTTATTATGGTATACGAGAGCGAAAAAATAACCAAAATAGGAGCAAAAAAGCAAATAAATAAGATATATGAGTACAAATTTGAGCCTGATTTTTTATCTGGCTGTGTCACATAGTTAAAGTACTCAGTACACATTCTTATAACATATCTAAAATAATTGCCATATAGTAAATACTCAAGCACAGTACTTGCCAGAAATAATTTCAATTTGAATCCAGGTCATGAAAACATCCTTACTAAAGCAAACCACAGAAGGGACCTACACCTGACTCCAGCTCAGTAATAAGTTTAAAAAAATAGAAAGTGAAAGCCCCTTAAAATTACTTCTTCATCTGCCAGTTCGGAAACAGTCATCGGTGATCATGATTAGCCCCTCATTTTTCTGCTCAGTAGCTATAAACAGAACCTAGGTAATCCTGGTCCTTTTTGATCATCTGTCTGATTCTCTCAGTAAGATATACTTGGCCTCTTTTGAATTCTATTTCTTTTCAGTAACAACAAGCTGCTTCAAGTCTTTATGTTCATTCAAATGTCTTTGGAACCGCATTGTGTTTATTAGTGTCCACCCCAAACTGATTTCTTTCAGCACGCAGTCTTTTTCAAAATTTTAGTAGCGGTTTTACGGCGCTCGCAACTGCATAAGGTCATATGAGTGCCAGAAGACTAGAAGTGTCATAAGAGAGTAACAAAAATAAAAAAGAAGAAGGGGAGATAAGGACGATAGACGTTTGATAGGAAAGAAGGAGCAATCCATACCAGAGCAACTGCCAACCACCCACGCACGCAGTCTTTTGAAATTCTTTTCCTTAACTCGATCAGGGAATAAAACCTAGCAAAACTATGGCCAATAACTACAAACTCTTCTCATCCTAAAACTAACTTACGTCTTTGATCTTATCCCCATTTGTCATATGGTAAAACGTTTTTCAAACAATTCAAAATTTTCAGTATTTGAATCAATACCGACACGAAAACTACACCTGAGTGATCTATCATGTATGTGATACATCCAAGGGGAGAGACTTGCAACATATCTATGACATAAACATAGCAAAATAAAGTACTGTCAGCAAATACTTTCTGCTATCTATTGCTGGGAAGGGAGTAGACAAAGGGATTACAGAACTAGCTGTTTTCAAACTTTTGAACAGTATTTCGATAATTTTCTAGTTGCTTCTAGCCTGAATATTCGCAGAGTCTTTCTAGACGTATTTAAACATGTTATTCTTGGGTTAGATTAAAAGAGTTGGGTTTTTTCTGCTAAACACAAACATCTTGTCAAGCACCTAAGACATCACAATATTTTTTTTTTGAAAAAGCAGTAACTGACGTCCATACTGAACACACATGCACATACAGAAATGTCAGGGAGAAGTCAAGACAGCAAAACCTTTTTAGTCCTGTTTCTGTCAGGGTGCTTTTCCAGAATACTCATGTGTTCATGAGAAAATTAATAGTCCAGGTTTGAGCTTCCAAAGACCAAGTAACTATTTTTTTCCCCTAAAAGGCAATTGGACAAAGAATGCATTAGTAGTTGATTTCTGGGCTGAAAAATCAGCCTTGTGTAAGAAAGAGAGTTAATAGACAGATGTACCATATATATACCCATGCTAAATGCTTCAAATCAAACCTCACCATGTCACACAAATCAAATTGGAAACAAAACAAAATTAAATTCAGGAAAGTATTACCCAGAGACTGGAAAGATTTTTTCAGTCTCTAAATCACTATGACATTACAAATACAAGAGTAATTAAAAGTATGCAGGGCAAGACATCTTTTGGAAAAGAAATCTAATGGTCTAATTGATACAATGGAGTACACTTATAACGAGTCCTGAAACAACGAGAAGTCTGTTACAAAGACAATATTCTAAAACCCCGGTTTTTTTTCTCCTTCTTTATCTTTGTAAATAAAACACTGCTATTGCGCAATCAGACCATCATGCAAGTCGGTTATAATGGAATAGTGCTGCTGCTGTGCACAGCACACAGACCAATTAAACATATTATAAAATCTTGCTAGTTGAGAAAGTTGTTGGTGATCCAGCGAAACAAAGAATGGGAGAGCCCACGCGAATCAACAATGAAGGCCGGAGCGAATGAGTGGGGAGGGTGTGGCATGTGCAGACAAGCAGAACGCATCGCATGATAGGCCAGCCCAGTCTAGATTATCTAGGCATTCCGTGCCTCTCACTTTTCTGGTGCGGGATGGAGAGGTCACAATGCATTGATAGATGGATGGAGTGAATGTGTGACGTGCGCAAGCAGACGCAACACACCACAGGGTGTGGTGGGGTGGGGGACAACACAGCCGTCGAGTTAGCCTAGAGCCAGAGCCCCTTCTTTCTGATCACCAAGGCCGATTTGTCAACATTGCTAGTGCTAGAGAAAGAAACCTGATTCGATTTTTGATCAAATAAGACCTAGAGATCATGTTGAACAAATCATCATCAGGGGAAATACAAAAAGGAATAAACAGAACGCCAAACTCATAGATTAGGCCTACTTTATTATTTCCCTTGAATTTATTACTGGATCCCTTGTAACGAGAATCCTGCTATAACCGACATTTCGCACCGGTCCCCTCCCTCTCGTTGTAACAGGATTCCACTGTAATACACTATTCAATAGAACTTTTGCTAACCCCACAGGAAAGGAACATAATTTAACGAGCATTTTTAGACTAAAGTATAAGTTTTCAAAACAGCTGAAGAGTCCACATCTTTGCAGAGCACTTAACACAACTGCAATCTTGATGTACCTTGGTCTTCTGTGAAAGGAAATATTTCAGGCCCAATACTTATTAGTAAGCAAAAATTGCTGCCAGAAAGCATTGCCATTGCCAAAACTGATCGTTTCATCAATTTAACCACAATATATGAAATTCTAACAACTGCACCCCCCCCCCCCCCCCCATCCCCCAACCAATAAACAAAAAAAAACAACCACATTTCATACAAAGTCATATTCATTAACAGCTTTAGATTTTACTTAAAAGTAAAAAAACACTATGACAATGTGATAACTACAGTTCACCTCAGCATTTCACAAGCACTATCCCCAAAAACTGTTACTAAAAAAAAGACAAGACAGAAGTCTCTACTTACGATCCCTGTGCTCGAGAATAAGGAAAATGTGGGATTTTAGCCAAATCATCAGGGTGAATCATGGTCAGGCTCACAACAAGTAAAAGGAGTAAATGATCTCTCTAAACTTTGAAATTTAAAATGAACAGACCTGCTGACCCCTGAGTGGGCTCATAACTTATGGCAAGTAAAGACTGGTTATCCTTAATGACTAATCACAATAGTCTCTCTTCTTAATTTGATGAGGCATGCCATTTTCTTTCACTTATCCAATCATGAGTCTCAAAATTTGGATCGATCGCACTTCTTCTTCTCTTAACTGGACAAAGTTTATGGCTTTCAATCAGTGACAAGAGTTTATTGCTCATGTTAAAACGCATCATAGTATTGTAACCTCACCAATTATAATTTGAAGAATGACGAGCAGGCTCACTGCCAGTAGAGGCCCACATTACTCAAAAGCAATCCCTGAGTAGGGGCGCAAGGCTGTCAAGTAAATTCGTGCACAGAGATAAAAGACAAGTGTGATGGCCAGGGAAACAAAAGCATCAACAGTTCAGTTTGATGTGACGCCTCGAAAACCCCACCCATCCTGGATATGATGTTAGTTCATGCGAGGAAGGAAGGGGTCAAATGCAAGTGCAATGTTCGGGGGGGAAAACAATTGCATCGACGAATGCATATCTCAGCGTCTAGGGTGAACAATGTACCCACTCATCGAGCTTACAAAGGAGATGTGATCGTATTCGTGAGAGCGGATGAGAAGTATCGGTTAATACTTCCTGTGAGAGTTTTTGTATACTGTTTAATATATGTTTGTGTGTCTCTTATTTGTGCTTTCCTAAGTTGAGGTCTGTGTCAGTACATCATTATGATCAATGTCTGTCGGGGCTGTCCAGCACCTGTTTGATTATTTTTTTAAAAAATCAAATGTAGCTGTGCCACGGAGTCAAAACTGAGATTACAGGGGTTGCTGTCTTTTACTGGCATTTTGTTCCTGTTTCTAGTACAGTAGTCTCTTCCATGGATCCCACAGCTTATTATCCTGGCTAGCTAAAGATCCTCCTGTTTTAAGAAAACAAAATTTTGACCGCACAGAAGTCGCCCCTAAGAAGCCACCCTGAGGGGACTTCATTCAGCTAAGATCAAATTTACTTGATAAAAATTTCAAGTATATGCTCAGCTGATCAACCAAGAAGAAAAAATGTTGTGATTATGTAGTGCCCGACACATCCGCTCTCATGAATGAGATCACATCTCCTCTACCGATACTTCTCAAAGACAACTAGTAATTCAGACTTTTTATCTCGAGACAATGATTTCAGGCTTTGTTAAATTAAATCTGCCGAGGTCATGTGTTACTATGATCACATACATTTAAAAGTGATTCTTCTCTATAGTAATACAATTAGGAATAAGTATCAAAATTACAATCTTCATTGTCATAACACAAGTCAATTTTGCCAGGTTTTTAGTTATTGGTACCGGGTACGATAATAACACCTGTCACTTCTTCCATATCCTCAGTACCACCGTTACAGAGACAAATTAATTTTTGCTTCACTCATAAGTTTGACTTAAATAAGCACTGCTTCCAAATTCCAAAACGTTTTCTCAAAACAACAAAAAATGACTCTGACAACTGTGGCACGACCACAGCAAACTGTTCTCAACTCACACAATTAAGTCCAGAAGCCGTGAATCATTTAGATTTAAGGGTTACACTAATTCATCTGATGACCCGCCATTTTACCCTCTATTGTATTTCCTTTCAGTATTTGAAAAAAGCTTTCACTGAACACTGTCTAACAAAGCCCTATTCCTAGCAACACATATTTGAGACATACTTGCAAGATTGCATTAGAAAATAAAGCTGCTCGTATATTTAAGTACGATTTGAGACATCCTTTTCACAAAATCTACAAACAAAAACTTAAAGCGAAAGGACCTAAACCAGAACCAGATTAAAGTACTTCAATTTAAAGCACAGAAAAATCAACTTCAGCACTAAAGAATCTATGTTTAATATAAAACGACATTTTTAAAAACCCAGTACAAGCAAAATTATAAAAGATGCATTATTTCTACAAACTGGAACAACTTTCCAAAACAAAAAAACAAAAAAGAGGGGTTTTGGGTCCTAGGAATTCTGCATCAGGGACACTGGGTGAAAACTCGAGATACATGGAAGTTCAGTTTAGAAATTCCACCATTCATATCATATCTTACAGCTAGCTTTTGACACTGAATATGTAGTAAAACCAAAATAACACGAACTTCATGGGACTGGAGAATTTCTCTGTGATAAGCAGATTTCAAGTTTAAAAAGTTGCAGTGCACAGGGAATAAACCGGGGGGAGGGGGGGGATAAATTTGAAAACCTTTCATGATAGCCTGAACTTCATGTTAAACAGCTTCATGTTAAATACTGTATTAAGCAGTAGCGTATTGCAGAGATCAGTCTATTTTGCTATCTCGTGTTTTCCTGGGGTTTTTTTTACGAGGTACATAAAGTCACCTAAGGCACATCACAGTAAGTTCCATCACAGGGGACAATCATTCAGTAGCAAGTAGTCATTAAAAGATTCAGCAAAGTCTATCAAAGCATGAGCTTTCACATTAACTCCCCCCCCCCCTATTTATTGGATGTTTGATGTCTGGAGAGAACAAAATAGTACACACTTCAAAGAGATTAAAGAGACCCCAACATGTCCCAAAAAACTAGCAATAATTTCATTCTCCCCTGTCAAACACATGAAAATAAAGGTCAGAAACTCTGTAAAACTCTGCTAAGGTCATTTTCAAGACAATGAAAGACACATAATTCGTCAAGACAGGATTATCCACTTTCACGCAGCATGCCTAATCCTTTTTGGTCCCCTCCTTGAGCTCCCTCTTCATTTTGCAATCGCGGATTATTCTGTCAAAGTGGTCCAAGTAGATCAAGGAGATGATGCGAAAAATGCCCATTGTCAGAACCTGGAAGAAGAAGCAAAGGATTACATATCTATCTCCCCCGCTCAATAAAAGTCGTAAGACGCAGTGTGCTATTATCAGCTACGAGGCTCGAAAGACAAAAAAGTGACTTTCGATGAAATTTTTGTTTCTTGGATCTATTGAAAGTTTGATGTCTTTTGCTTCATTTAAGATAAAAATAAACAACTATAATCGACTATAAAATTTTATTTCGATTTATTTTGGAGGTGTGTGTGGTTTGTTGTGAGCCATGGTGACGAAATAAAGGAATTTGGACCTTGCTAGTGTGCAGCTGTGAGATTATTTTTAGAACCATTATCACATGGCCACCTTTCCTTCAACCAAAGATTCTCCATAAGTGGAGTATCTTTGCTTCAACGTTCTTCATTCGCAACTATTTTTAGATTTTGACCCCTTTTCAAGCATGAATGGTCAGAAATGTAAACAACTCTGATTTATAAAACGGAGTAAAAACAGTAACTTCTAGCTCACTTCAAGCTTGTTTACATAAACAGCTGACTGTGTGGGCGGGCCCTGCTAGTAGTGCTAGCTGTTATCGTCTGTTGATCTTTCAGTTTAACGCTTGGATTGACTTTAAAAATTTGTTTTTATTGTGTTTTAGTGCTTTTAAAACATCAATTAACCTTCCTCCAGATCTCTTACCAAGAGGCCACTGAGGTGGTCTATGTACACGTATGTGTGTGTGTGTGTGTGCGTGCGTGTGTGTATATGTTTGTATGTGTGAGTGTGTGTGTGTGTGTGTGTGTGTGTGTGTGTGTGTGTGTGTGTGTGTGTGTGTGTTTGTGTGTGTGTGTGTGCTCTCGTGTGTTTATGGGGCTATTGCAAACGTATAATTAGGTAGCGTAAACACGGCACATAAGCCGACTCGCGGCCTTCCGAGCGCCTGGTTTCGGTAAAATGGGGGTAATTCAGATCTCTGTTTCTTTGCTCTTTTGCTATAAAACACCAAATGCTGAACACTTTGAAAAAGTTCAGACTTTCTTCATTACAATAGTGTAAGTTGTTTGTATATTCGATTATTTGGAGCTAGAGAATTGCCGTGGAAAGGGAAGCCCCTTGCAGTCGGAATGCGTGGTCGGCCGGTTCAAAATTGACACCCATGCATTTGAATGCTTTGCAGAAAGATTGATGATTAAATACCGTCTTTTCATTGGAAGAGAACTAAACAGCTTGGTTTCCCGTGGTTATTATTTTTGGTCTTTGGCGCTTGGATAGCAAACCTTGAAAAAAAGCGTTTAAGTTTTCAAAGATCATTTTTAACACGAAATGTGTACAATGCGGGCTAAACAAGGTACAAATAGAAAGAACACTTCTTTTTCTATTAGAATAAAGTCATCGGCTAGGAATTATTTTGCATGAATCCTTCCGCGAAACTACCGGGAGCACTCAGTACACTACAGTATTAAGCCGGTTCGCTCGCTGCGGGGAACGATGCAGCGCTGTCCGAGACAACCCTCTGTGTTTTTATTGAAATAACGACAGACCATCGTGTTTGAGGCAATAAAATACTGATTTGTAATTATCTCATTGTCTTGAAAAAACATAAGGCTTCATTTCTTTGTTATAATGATTGTACTCTGTTAATGTAGAGATGTTTGGTGCACTTGGTACTCTTTTATTATCTGTCAATCATGGGGTTGCAGCCAGTTAGCGACTTCAGCAATATTATGTTAAATTGAAACAGCTGCCATTCTCTTAAACATTGACTGATAGGTAAAAGTATGGTACCAAAATTCTCAGGAGAAATAGGCCTTTCATATGAAACAGATGAATTTGATATGCAGCTACTTTGAAAATTTAGTATCTGGTGCTAGAGGATGCTAAAGTTAGACATCTGCATGTGACACAGTGACGTAGAATGTCCGGGTTCTGTAGTTTTTCTCCCCTTATGCTCCAGGAAGGTTGGCAGTGAGTTGAAATAGCCGAAATTTTTAAAAATCAAAATTAGGGGTATTAAGATCACATTTTCATAAAATTGAAGAAAAATCATGACGATTCCGCCAAATTCGTAATGATGGGCAGTCCTGTAATATAAGTCAGTAATTTCTGAATTGGCAGGCATATCAACAGGGCAACTAGTGGATACTTAATTCTAGATCCATGTCTTCTTTTCTTATTTGCGTTATTAAAGCTATATTTAGTCTGTATAAACGGAAGTGTTCATTGGGGCTAGATGTATCCTACATAAGGTCACCGTACTGAATGAAATATTTGGAATCAATACTTTCAAGAACAACAGTACTATAGACCAGACTATTGAAAGATTGTAAAGTATAAACGTACATACCGAGGAAAGACACATGAGAAGACAGACAATAAACAAATAGTCTGCAAAACAAAGAAAGCTCAACCTTGCATCACTGTTTTTGTGTTCATTTCTCATACTGAAAGGCCTGACAGTACAGGAACATCTTGAGTTATGTTGGAGTCAGACTTTTTTACTTCTGCATTACTTCCTAATCAGTGTTTTCATCATCATCATCAGAGCCCTCTGGGAACATTGACTCAAACTGTGACAAGCCTTGTTTTTGTTTTTTTTAAAGAGGGGTAGCCATTGTGTAGTTTTTTAGGTTGTGACAGACAGCTGAAAACCAAACAAAACTTATGTCAAAGAGAAATAACTTGTGCATGGCAAGACTTTTCATACTATAATGAGAGATCCTCAACTATACACAATAACCACATTGTAAATTTTGAAGAAAAAATTTTTTTAATTATCAACCTGTCATTCTTTAACAGCCTTGCTTCCTTCTCTCTACCCTAATCCTGTTCCCCGTAAAAAATAATAAGTCACCAAAAAACGAGTTCCCTGAAGCACCAAGTTCATATTTTCTTAGTAGCGTCAGTTTCTACCTGTTGGGTGGCCTCCATAATACTGACAACTGGGGAAAATCCGCAGGTAAGTGACGACAGCATGATGCCATCCAAACCCATAGAGCTGAAGAAACGGCCACGCTGTATCAAAATAAATAGAAAGGCTATTAGTCAGCACAATGTGTTTGTTTCAGAAAAGTGTGGGACATCAACGCAACAATAGTCATTTAGTGCACAGAAAAAGCAATACAGAGTGAGAGAGACAGTGATGACAGAGGGAAAGACAGCAAGTATGCACTACCTCCAACTACCCTTCAGAGTGAGCATAACTGTTGTGGAAACAACACAAACAGTGAGATCAAAGCAAACAGGCACAAATCATAGAAAGTAGAAAGAAGCACGTGTTCATTAACAGTGAGTATACGGGTTTAACGTCCCTATCAACACTATTAGGTTATTTAAGAGGCAGGACCTCCAATTTAACATAAGTCTCCTATAGGACTGAACCAAATGAATTGAGTGCCTTGAAAACTCCACAAAACGATCGATGCACAAGAACGCCCTGTTCATTAACACTGGTTAACATCCATGCCTATAATCTTAAATGTATGCTCACGATCAAAAGAAACTTGGCACCCCCCTATTCATCTGTATTATTCTATTTTACCGAGACGGAAATGAGTTTTCTTGATTAAAATATCTGATACATCGAATGTACAGGCCGAAGTCACAAATTCAGTAACGAATATATCTGCCATTGGCATCATCAACAGCAGAGCATCTTCGCCTCAATGAGTAAACTAGCCGTTGGAGAAACTGTTGAGGGATACTGTTCCACACATTGACCAGTGTTAATGAACAGGGCATTCTTGGGTATCAATTGTTTTGTGGAGTTGTTGTGACATTTGTGGCTAAAGATTAATGGCAGCAATCTGTCTGCCCAAATGATACCAGCAATGCATGCTTCCAACATGACAATGCACCAGCACGTCACGCACTTGCAACCCAGGAATTCTTGAAGGAAAACTGTTCACGTAATGAATCCCTGGCCAGCCATTTCGCCCGACATAAAAATTCTCCCACATGGGAATTGAACTCAGGTCTTCTTTGTGTGGTGTCAAAGTGTCTACCGCTATATCAAAGATGCCAGTGTCACCATTTCTTGCCCATATGAAAGACTACAAGTCTCTTACTCAGGGGCCAACCATTGGGGGCACATGCGCTAGAAGTACTCTTGCATTAGGATTGAAAGTAATTATTCCTTTATCATAACTGTTCTACAACCAGACCTGCAACTCTATTAAATCTAAAAATCAGGATCTCAGGGGGAAAAAATTGGGATTCGGTGAAAAAAATCGGGATCAACGACTAATCATCAAGGTGACTGCCAAGCTGACTAAAAATGTTCCTGGGGTGTCCGAGTGTCCATACAAATATATCCATGTATGCGGAGTCTAACACACAACCCCCCACCCCCCACCCCACTCCACCCCAAATAGGGTCTGAAAGACACTTCAACTTCAGCCAGTGAGCATGAACTTTAGTTGACCCAGTCACTGATGGACGGTCCCCGACACATGAGCAATTTACATGCCGAAGTCATATCACGTAATGTGAACGCGTCATTGAAACAGTCTTACTGATGGGTCTTGGTGACCAGCCCGACTAACCAGAGCTCGGACAAAACTTGTTTTGAAAGTAACAGCAGAACTACGAATAATCATTAACTCATTCGGGACGCATAGGGCATATACGGCCGACAGCCTTGAGCTCCGTTGGAGACGCATTGTGATAGCATTTCTTGACCGTTGTGGCAGTATAAATGAAGGTATTCCAGGGAACAAACTTTTGTTTGACATTGCTGGCCCATTTTTATTTTGTATTCACTTCTGACCACACAGCGTCGTTTTTTTGCGATTTTCTGTGGCGAATTGTGAAGGCAGTCGAGGCGACAAAGAACATGGATCTTCGAGGAGTACCATACAAAGAAGGACTATTCAGTGACAGGAACTATTACTTCACAATATTTGGACTGAAATTGTGTTGTGATATGTTTTAAGCTGCATTATATTGTTGTGCTGTCATTTTATCTTGCTTGTTTCAGCATTTCTTCACTGTCAACTTTGAGAAAAAAAATTTGTATGTCGCAATTGAAACAGTTATCTGGCCATCATCAGAGAATTCTGAGGGGAAACAAAAACTAAAGTAGATCTTGAGAATGTCCCAAATAAGAATGCCAAACCAATACTACTTCCATTATGTGCGAGCAAAGTTGTGTAAACTTGGGGCGAGTCTACTAAATCCGCAACGATATTTCGGAAAATAGTGTTCCAATTTCCTGCGGACAAAAAGCTTAACGGGTGCTTCCCGTGACAGGGAAAAACGCAGAGAAAGTTTTTAGAAAAATCCAGTGCACCAGACGGCACAAAAAATCTGGATACACGCGATGGATATCGGGAAAATCTGGGTGCTTCAGATTTGGGGCAAAAAATAGGGATATCCCGATCAACTTTACTTTGGGAGTGAGCTGCTTCAACTCGACTTGTCCAGACTGGTTGGGATACAAGATGACAATAAAGAGACAGAGATACTAGATGAAAAATCTTCTTACAGGAATCAATCACACATGTGTCATTTGCATGCCCTGCAAAGAGCAGAACCATTAGTGACCACAGACCACGAAGATGAATAGATGTTCCTTAAAACAACCTTTGGCTAATACCATAAGGATACCAAATTTCAACTGAGAATACAAAACATACAAAAGAATAATTTCAAACTTACCACAGTGTCGGCTAAGATGATGTTTGCCACATTGTCAGCAGAGAAGAGACCGGACGTCTCAGAGATAAGTCGAGTTTCCTCAGGCTGCAAACAGAAATGTATTGTAATTGTACATTACACTTTATAACCCCATTGACACAATATGACAATTTAGGAGGTGGGCTGCTTCGACCCTGCCTGTCAGGGCCAACCCAGACTGTGAAGGATGCAACGTCTAAGGAGACAGGCAGAGATACTCTATAATAGGCAAAAGGCCTAGCTGTTACACTATAGACACTGGTGGATGCATCAGAAACATAGCACATAAGAGCTTGGCAATTATGATGAAATTCACATGCTATACTATCAGTTAAATTTCTTCTTTTTTTTTTTTATGTAGGCATTTTGTACTGCCCCATCTACACAATTTAGATCATTTGGGAGGCCGGCTTCCAATCCTGCCTGCCAGGGCCAACCCGGGCTGAGAGGGATACAACATCCCAGCAGAAACACACAGACGCTCAAAAAAAACTTCCTCCTGACTTGTGGAAATGAACTTGGGTTTCCTGCATGCGACTGTGAAACACCTAACCGCTACACCACCAATCACCTGTATACTATCGGTGAGGAGCAAAAAATGGAAACAGACAAAAAGAAAGAACAAGAAAGTGATAGTACAAAACTGTACAGAAAGCATCAGCCAAAACAATATCACCCCCCCCCCCCCACTGGGGCAGAGCTACAGAATGAAGTTGTCTTTATGCCATTCCCAAAGGGGGGACATTAACATCATGTTCTTATGTACAGTAGAATTGCAAATGGGCCGATTTATCAATGTCATGCTCATACTGTGCTGAAACATAGGGGGTACTGCTGCTTTTTCTTTCCTCATCCTTACTATCATCATTTATCCTCTACCTCTTTTGTATGTCGGTCACTCTCTTGTGAACTGCTATTTCTGGGGGGGTTGGGGAGAGCAGAAAATGGAGACAAAAGCAGACAACAGAACATGATTAGAGAGCAGGAAAAGTGAAAGGAGAACATTTTTAAGAGAAGAAAATTTTCCATCGCTGTCACGTTTCGAACTCGGGACCTCATGAGAGGCGAACATAGTACCTCTAGACTACGAGAGCCCCCATAAACAAAGTACTCTATACCAGCTTTCAGTCACAAAGTACCCTGTATCCACTCAGTACCAAAACTTTTAATGAGCCCAGCACAAAAAAACAGTCATCCATATTTAATTTCTAAATGTCCTACAATTGTGGAAAACATCACAATCGCAGAATAATTCAGAGGTACACAGAAGCATTCATGAAGGGACACATCTCACAAGCTGCTGATTGGAAGGCGCTACTGAAAGTTTCCTCGTTTCTTTCCTTCTGCTGTCTTACCTTTTCCCAGCACTAAATATTCATAAATGAAAGTGTCAAAGTGCTTCTCTGTACCTAAACTTTTAACTTTCGAAAGTTTTACCGCAAATGCAACACAAATAGGTCATGTAAGTGTCAAAGATTAGAGGTGTAACTAGAGAGTTACACACAAAGAAAGCAAGGAGCAAAGCTGAGGACGATAGAGGTTTGATAGGAAAGGAGTAAAGTAAACTAAAGTAAAAGTCTTTGATCATATCTTAGTTTTCTGTTACTCTGCAAAGCCAGGGGTATTATAAAAACCAGATAGACAAGTATCTTTGATGAATATACCTTTGATTTCTGCTCCTCTGCAAAGCCAGGGGTATTGGTGTCAGGAGGAAAAGCAAGGGTCAGGTGCACATTGTAGGGTTTCACCTGAAACAGACACAGGGTCAGTAAGGTAGTGCCGAAAGACGCGAGCACAGACCTGTCACTCAATAAAAACAAATAGGAAGAGACAAATGCAATGTTTGAATCAACATAAAGGCCTTAGGATTCTTTCCTTTCACTGAAAAATTAGAAGGCAAAAGAGGCAGAGGTAGATCATGAATAACTTAAGAGAGCTTGAACTGAACCAATGAGTGGCGGAAAAAACAACAACAGGATAATAATATAAATGTCTTTTAACATCTGAGCTGTACTTCCAGGCTGTGTCAAAAGATTTATTGGGATTGAAAAAGATGGTGATTGTGTGGCCTCCTTTAACAAATTCTTACGTATAACAGTCTCCAGAGGCATAAGATGATCCAGAGTGGATCGAGATTTTCTGAATCCACACTGGAGACCACTTGGAGAACACATTGTTTTGAGAAACCACAAGAGTCATTTGTTGATCACTTTTCATACATAGACAACTCGTTAAGGCCATTGGTCTGTAATTTGATGGGTGTGCGTGAAAATTTCTAGAAAATTGAAATGATTGATATAGACAAAAAATAATGGAAACTTTGTATTATACAAGGCAACTTGTAAAAACTCAATCACTTTCAGAATTTTGCGTTACAGCTGTAGCATCTGCAAAGAAGATCACAGCTGACACCAAACAACCATTAAATTCAGAATATCAGAAATTTATAATTCGAAGCTGTTTTCTTTTTAAAAAAGCATGAACCAACAGGTATAAGAATTCATTCATAAAATCCCCATGCGTGTGTGTCTGTGTATGCAAGTGTGTGTGTGTGTGTGTGTGTGTGTGTGTGTGTGTGTGTGTGTGTGTGTGTGTGTGTGTGTGTGTGTGTGTGTGTGTGTGTGCATGTGTGTGTGTTAGAGAGAGAGAGAGAGAGAGAGAGAGAGAGAGAGAGAGAGTGAGAGTGAGAGTGAGAGAGAGTGTGTGAGTGTGTGTGTGAGTGTGCGTGTGTTTTGTTAATATTTTCCTCCACACTGAAGTTTTGCGTTTCAAATTTGGACACAACATTTGGAAGTCAAAAGGAATTTGTCTGATATTCATTTTAGATAAATCCACATAATAGTTTTGCTCTACATAGCGTGTAAAAAAAACAACCCTCAGCTATGTCCCCATTTTTGTAACATGACGCACTAGTTTGCGTTAGGCCAACCACTAAAAATCTTACCGATTGCGCCATGTTGCAAACTACAATGGTCTAACAGGCCAACAGAAGTTTGCAGATAGTCTTTCTCAAGTTTCCTTTGCCTGATGAGATCATGGTTAAGATTTGTAAAGAGCAGAGAGCTTTTTGCATTGAACATTTCCTCAACACAAACTCATTTCGTAAGTTTCGCACAAGGCATGGAAATAGTGTTAGAGTGCCCACCCTTAAGGCCTTCTTTGATGACAAGAGGAAAAATGGTCCAACAGTTAGGACCTGTAGAGAATCAAAACTAAAAACTCCCAAACACAACGACCATTTCAGGTTAAACACACACCGTTCGCACCCCTGTACATGTCACCAGGGTGCAGAATTCAGTAGATGAGCCCCATGAGACATCTGTCCGTAGACGGTGTCAGCAGCAATGACTTTCCTACATCTCAACAGTCTGCATTCTCAAGGCAGATCTTCATCTATGACTGTCCCATTTTCCCATTCGCGACGCTATCGGAGGATAGCAATATGTTCATGATTCCTCGATCTTTTTGAAAAGCGTGAACATTTCTTCTATGACATTTGTTTCCTTTGCAAAGCCCATATTCACCTTTCAGGTTATATCAACTCCACAAATGCTGTCTATTTGGGCAACCTCCCCCCCCCCCCTATTGTCTCTAGAAACAGCTCCATACTGAAAGGTGTACAGGGTGTGTGGCTTTGAGTACTCATGGTTGAGTGGATCCTTGTGTTTGGCCTCCACTGAACATTATGAATGACGCGTTAAAATGTGTCGAGTCCAAAGGAGGACGTAAAGACCATTTGTTCTCGAAATCCCAGAACTTAAAAAATATGTTTTTTAACTTTGTAAGAGAAAAGAAATATTGTTTAAAGGTTACAGAGATGGAAAGATTAGATTTTATAAATAAAAACAAAGGACATAACAAACCAATCGTTTTATGACTTTCCTAAAAATATCTTCTAAATTGGTGCATTTTGCATTTATGGGTGGTTTTTATAAAAGCCATTTCCATTTTTTTAAAATAGTTTCTTCTTTGTAAATTTTATGTCAAACAAATTCTTTTTGAACGAATTATATCTGCTCCAAATTACAACATTTTAGTACAAATTTTGTGCAAGATATTCAGAAAAAAGGTTGTACAGTATTATCTAAGCTGTCTCATCTATTAATGTATCACCATTGTAACTCAAATATCACCATGGGATCAATGAAGTGGAATTTATTTCATCTTAATTTTTATTTCTTAAAAGGAAAAAAAAAAAGGGCTTTAGGTTTACACTGCTTAAATTAAAGAAGCCCTGGGAAGTAAAATGTGAAAGAAGACTAGAGCTCTCACAACCACATGCCTGGGCAAACATCCATAATTTCAAAGCTAAATGATTGTACTCCTTACAGTTATGTTTTACGCCCCCATTAAAAAAAATTAATATTATCTTAGAAGCGGGCTGCTTTGACCCTCCCAATCAGGGTAGATCCAGGCTGAGCGAGATACAACATCCCAGTAGATAGAGGGAGATGCTCTATAAACAGAAACTCTCCCATTCAGGAATCGAACTCACCACTTCTTCTGCCTGCAATGAAGCAAACAGCCTAAACCATTAGAGCTGTGCACATTCCACGTTACTATTCAACATTCATGATTTTTGCGCTTTTTCAAAGCTATCTGAAGCTATGCAGAGTCCTTCGAATGCTGTTCGATTTTTACTGATAATGGTTAATACACCAAACTCATATGACATTCAAATAGCACGAATAGTGGCTTCACGCTTCAAAGCGTCGACAAATTTTTGTTTCCTCAAAAGCGCACAGCACTGTTAAAGAATTACATTACAGATGTTGGTAATCTAAACCTGAAGAAATTCTTGTTAATATGAATAGCAAGAATACCTAAGACATAGGAACATGACTGATGAAAGACAAAGGTCACTAGGTTGGTCAGGTAAGGAAGTAATAATGACCATAATAAGGAGGTTCAACTTCCTAAGCCTAAAAGATTTATATTGTATGCAACCAAACCAAACATGACTTTTTCATCGTATGTGAGGTAGCGTGGTGAAATCATCTGCTCGTCGAAATTATGAAAGTCAAGAAACGGGCATTTTTCCCCAGGTTTTGGAATTTTAATCGAATTTTTTTTTGGGGGCTTAACACCTTTCACGCCCATTAAAGAACACATTTCTGTGTGTATAATACAGAAAAAAGTTGATTAAAGGCACAAAAGATGTAAGTTTTCAGTTTCCAAGGGCTCTCCAGCTTAGGAAATAACTCAACTTTGGCGGCCATTTCCTTGCTAATTTTACCTCTGAAACCAGGCGACCCCCACCTCCTTCAATCGCCAATATCTTGACTTGTATTCAAGACACAAGGATATTTTTTCATCAAAAGCAAGGCAAAATGGACAGCCTTTAAGATGATACCAATAACTCCATATGCCCCAAAATTGACAAGTGCCTGATTCCACCGCGTCATGACACATATATGAAACATAAGACCAACACTGGCCCTAAGATCCTCAGAGCTGAAGTTGAAAAAGCAAAAAAACATTCACCAGCTAGCAAATCATCAGGAGAAGATGGGGTTGCTGCAGAAATGATTCAGGGCTGCCTACCTCAAAGTTCTCATTTCAGGAAAATTCAGGGTCAGTTTCAGGTATTTTGGCTCAAAATCAGATAGTACAAAGACAAAGAAGAAAAAAAAAAGAGATGATCGTTGCGCCTGTACACATTTATCATCGAGCGGAGCTTGTTTTTCGTTATATTCAATAATTATTTTTTGAAAACTTGTGTTTGCATGTACATATGCACATGTGTGTGTGTGTGTGTGTGTGTGTGTATGTGTGTGTTTGTGTGTGTGTGTGTGTGTGTGTGTGTGTGTGTGTGTGTGTATGTGAGAGAGAGAGAGAGAGAGAGAGAGAGACAGAGACAGAGAGAGAAGAGAGAGACAGAGTGTGTTTAAGTATACAATGTGTTTGGGTGTGCATACAATATCCCACCCAGCCAGGCCATCAAACTTGCTAGAGACAGGAAGCTCTTTCTCCCCTCGACGCCCTAGAGGTACAAGGGGACGGAAAAAGTAAAGTAAGTAAGGGAGTGCATAAGTTAAGGTGAACTGTGTTTATGAAATTTTTTGTTGTGGACTGTTGTTCAAAGTACCTACCAATCACTATTGAATGTGGAATGGAGTGCAGAGTGACTGCAAAACTGACTTCAAAACCCCTCGCCCATACCAATAGAAACTACATTAATAAATTTTCCAACAATAGCACAGGGCACTGATAAGTCCTGTGTGACTTTAAAGACAATTTTAGAGAGGAAAATTTTTCGGTCGCTACCCAGATTCGAACTCGGGACCTTTGAATGAGAGGCGAACATGTTAACCTCTTGGCCACGAGAGCCCCCAGATCCAGTTTAAATCAGTTCCAAGATATCATGGTACATAGGCATCCAACATAAGAACTCTATGCCAAACAGCGCTCTTATCATAAAAAATTAGTTTCCAGATTTTATCCTCCAGTATCATGGCAGGCAGTTCAAGTTCAAATGCATCTAAAAAAAAGATGTTTTTAATTTTTCCTCCAGCACAGGCCCCCAGCAAGGTACATTGGGGAGTCGGGGGCGAAGCCCCGGAAGAAATGGAAATTCAGAGCTTTCCGAGGGTTGAAAATGGCATTTCTCTATTGCCACTATTCAACCAGTCATCGCTTCATTGACAGTAGGCTGTAGGCAAATCCAGGAACACCAATCTTGACAATACAATCATCAAGCCTGTACTTCAATTTTCCTTCATTTACGCACTCGATAGTCGAATGTAAAAACCTCAGAGCACCACTTCCATTTAAAAAAAATTTTAGCATCAGTTTCTTGCACCGCAGTCTTATCCTGCTGCCGTAGAATCCTCAAAACGGTAGGCTACTGACCAATTCTCTGTACCTAGACGGCAGTGGTGGGCGGATTTGGGATTTGGTTTTGGGATTTGCTGGTACTTAATGTGAGAGAAACTACCCAAAACCTGGAATCCCAAATCCCAAGAAAGTATGAAACAAAACAAAGTTTTGAAAAAAATGCTGGCATAATTTCTATACTGAAATATCTTAAAATGATATTCAAATACAACAAAACGTTGTATGCAACACTATAACTGGTCTCTCAAAAAATATGCTAGTTGATCAACTAAAAGCTGACCACACGGACTTGTTTCACCTCCAGCTACGACAATCGAATAAACTGAAATCAACTTACAGTGCAAAGACGGGTCCATTGTATTAACTCCTACTCACTTGGCTGGTAACTGGTACTGGGATTTGTGATTTGCTCTGCGCGCGCAGTACTTGCAGCCAGAACAGTTACCTAGGCCTAGTCGCCTCTCACTCTCCCACTACCAGTACGAAAGCAAACGCCAAATCTGCGGCTGGGGCGGTTGTGACGACAGGCCTAGGTTATGAGAGAGAGAGAGAGAGAGAGAGAGAGAGGTTTTTAGATCTTTTTATTGTCTTCTGGGGGGGGGGGGGTGTGAATCCCGTAGTTTTGACACCTTTATCGGTATGGCTGTAAAACAGGCCCAAAATCGGTAACTACTGGAAAAATTGGTACATTTAGGAAACCCTGAATGATTTAACAGAGTTTGACATAGAAATTCTGACAGACATGTTCAGAATACATCCCAAAAGACCTCCTTAAAAATCTGAGTTGCAACTTTAAACATGCTTAACTGATGTCAAATCCAAAATGCAGCAGTTTTTTTCAACATGTTTTTACCACTTATCAATTCATGCACACAAATTCAGAGTAGGCACAGAAGCACACACACCAAGTGCAGAAATACAGATCCACAAACCCTCCTCCCAAACAAACACACACCCACATTATACCTCCATCTGTAGAGATTCAGCAAGACCTCGCAATGCATACTTGGAAGCAGAGTATGCAGAGAAACCAAACAAGCCCGTTTGACCTGCCTGAGAGGACACAAACACGATACGTCCAAGACCTCTCTCTTTCATGCCTGGGAGAATGGCACGCGTAGCATGAACTGTGCTCATATAGTTTATGTCAATCATTTTCTGTGGAGAGAAATAATACAAGAATTATAATTACTCAAAGAACCACTACCAGTGAATTCAGACAAGCTTGCATTAGGATTTAACAAAAACCACAGAAATCTCCCCCAAAATTGAGGGACTAACTATGAAACCTGTCTTGATCAGCACTTGCTTCAGCAGCCCTTAGAGAGCAACAATGGGTTTTTTAAAACTCTTTAAACCACATCGGACGCTGGGAGCGTCCTGCGGTAATAACCCTGTTCCCCATTGGACGTTGCCAGCGTCCGATACTAGTGACAACTATTTTGTTTTATTTAGTGTTAGTTTTTACTTGTTTTTCGGAACTATTCTCGAACCAAGTTTTTTAGTAATGGCTAAGCCTTTGTTTCCAACATTCAGAAGTTGGAGACAAGCTTTTGGGGTTATAATGAGACATAGTGCACCAGGTTTAGGTGACTGTAGAAAAAACTCAGGGAAACGGTGGAAAAAAACTCTGGGTTTAAAGAGTTAAAAAATACATTAGACCCACAAGCTGCTGCTCCAGAAACACATCCTCAACTACTTTTAATAAATCTCCAACCATGAGAAGCTAGAAGAAATGGACCATCCTATGGTTTGTTTCTTTTGAGTTGAGTTAAGAGATGCACACAGACACAATATAATGATTATTTAATGCAGAGAAATAGACAGGCAGATAGATAGAAATAACAGAGGAAAAGAAAAGAAAGACAACCTACCAGTGGCACCCTAGAACCATCCACAAAAAGCATTTGGTGACCACCTACTATGCAATCAGTTCATTATAAAAATACCATGATACCTACGTCAGCCATGTGGTCATGAATAACTCAAATAGATTTTTATCTGTTAGCTCACACCACTTACAAAATTCACTGAAAATATCAGATTGCTGTCCAGCAATACTAAAAGTACAGACAAATCTGCCCAAGACAACCACACATTGTCAAAGAGAGAAGTGGTCATCTTAGACTGACCCTCCTCTTAGAATCATTATAATACAGGCAAAACACAAGGGGGCAAGTGGGAAGTGGCCGCTTGTACAGGTGACTGTATTAGACAGGTGGACGTTTGACCTGATAAAGGAATGCTAACCAGAAAAGATTTATTATAAGCACGAATCACAACAGTACAGACAAAGGGCAGCTATTGCAGCTACATCTCAGGAAGCTAATGGTCAAACATTTACAATTACAATCCAGCCATATTGTATAACTAAGGGCTGGAGACACTACTCCAATACTACTTTATACCTGACAGTAATTTTCTCAAGAATCCACTTAAAACTTGTGGCATTGAAGACAATGCTTTAGTTCAAACGGTTACTACAAAATACCTTGAAATCAGACAAGGGAACTTCATCAAATCTGCCAGGACTGGCAGTTCCAGCACAGTTGATCAACACATCAACTGGGCCAAACGTAACCTGGCTCTGGAAAAAGAAACCAAATAAATTTCTGAACAGTTTGCTCTTAAAATACTCAATTTATTTCCAAACAAGTCTGCTCCAATTATGACATATCACTTGAAGTGGCCACTGTTCTATAAATAGCATCAACTTCCTTCCATGTCACATGTGCAGTTATAATATAGTGACAAACACTCAACCATACTAAATAATATGGTTCATGCTGACAAGTAAATGTCTTTCAGTGGCAATCCAAAGAGATTTAAGCAATATAAGCGATCTGGGAATTGACATCCCAACAACCAGTTTGAACATATGAACCAAACTTAGCATCTTTCAAAAAGGATGTTCATAACTGACAGGTAAAAAAAATTGTTAAAATGGGAGTATTTAATACAAATTAGTTGAAGTACTGAATACCAAACTAACAGGGGTATAAAATACAAACCAAAAGAAATTCTGAATCATATCTAAGATGTTTTAAGGGAGATTGTAATGATCTTTAAAATTTTGTAGAGATGATTGGAAGTGGTAGCATAAGGAAAATCTGCAAGGGAGTTCTTGAATGGTTTGAAATAAAGGACACTCAATGTCATTCTCTTCAGACATGACGACTACTCCTCTGTGCAGCACAACAAACTTTAAAAGAAGGGAGCACAAAACACTGACCAAGTTATCACAGCAAATGTTTGCAAAGTCATTACTGCTGACTGTAAGGAGTTCAACCTTGGAGCGAAATGAGAGGAATTTTAATCGTCTTTTACATCAGCTGTGACGAACATTTTATTTAAGTTATAAATGCACACAGGAAAATATTCTTGTCACGTAAAGAGAATTTCAACAACCAGCTATATCAGCATCCTTTGGTTTATCCATTTAGACATATTTAATGACATAAGTTGGTTAGGGATCCACTGAGTTTCGTTAAACATAGGATAGCATTCGATTCCTAAGTTTGAATTCAAAAGTTAACGACAAAGAGTTTTGATGTATCATAAATAGTCTCCTTGTAGCTCCTTCAGTTGTCAAAATAAGCAAGCATATACGCTGCTCCTGATTTTCTTTGAATGTTTTTCTTCTTTTACAGGCAACACAGTAAAAAGTAGGAGGATCACTGATTTATCTAATTTTATTATCCCTTCTAGCACATTTACAGATTCTGAGAATTCTTTATTAAAAATCTGGCCATTCACAGATTTTAAAAACCTGAAACAGCCCTTAGGCCTAAAAAATCTGAGCTGCGTCAAGACAAAAGTGAATGAACTAATTATTGAACGTTATTCTTTACATGAAAAAGTACATCTTTATCGCTAATTGAATTTTGAAACATCCATGGTTCTGTTTGGTGTTCTGTTCACCGCTTACTTCCTGCTTCAGCCTTACCTGGCCCCAAAAAGCACACCCGGCGAGTTGGTAGTTAGGCTAGTCTTTTTATATAACAGGAATTTTAACGCAAGTAAGAGTCGAGGGCTGACTTGCGAACTGCACTAAGCTGTCAGTCTGTACCCAACTGCCCCTCCCCCCTCCCTTTTATTCCTTTCTCCGTTCTCACCCCAGCCCAACTCTGAGTTCTAAAATTAGTATTTGACATAGTTTCTCGCTTAAAACAGTGCACTGAGAATTGCGATTGGAAATTGTTGAGTGCTTGCTTAATTCATTGTGTATGCGTTAAGTGTATAGTAGGCCTATTGTTTCGGATTCTACCTAGACTTAGTCTGCTTGGGACAGCGTCAGTGGTGTGGTATCAACTTGGTTCTGTTTCTTCAGACTACTATAAATCAGCTCATTAACATTATCATTATGTACATAAGAATTTTTAGTGGAAGGGGACCATGTTCCCAAGGGATCCAAGTGTGTTTGTGTGTGTGTGTTGTATTTTGAAAAAAAAGGGGGGTAGCAAAGATACAGGTATAAAATGTGTCGCAGTGTGTATGTGTCTGGGAGGGCCATGCGGGGGAGGGGTGGGGGGTGAGAGGAAGACCAAAGGGGTTGGAGGTTGAGGTAAGGTTTGGGGGGAGAAGATCAATATGAATGATAGCCAGTCAGTTTCACAAACCACGAGCCGCCCCTGGAGACAGGCATGAGCCATTATTTGAGTAAAAGCAGATGTAAACGTTTTAATTGGTTAGAGTGAGAAAAGGCTGATCTTATCTTGGGGAGTTTTACTGTAACATTTTGCTTTTTTAAGTTTGAATAGAAGAATAGCAGGATTCCAAACAGAAATGAAGGGTGGTTAGATTTTGGGTGTAGCCCACAGAGTATTCTTATCAAATCAAAATACCTCTTCAAACTTCTTTTTCACAGAATCATAATCTGCTGACAGATCCACAGAAACAGTCTGGACAATCTGAAAGGAAAACAGAGAGAGGAATGGACAACAGCGCTCCGCTCAATATTCAGTACATGGCAAATCACTTATTTTTTGTCAAAAGATATCAGGCATAAGCAATGTTGACAGCCTAAACAATTATAAAGATGAAAAGTATAATAGCAAGTGACAGGTGAAAGAAATAAACCTCAACTCAATTAAGAGGACTGAAGACCATACCTTCATGTCGGAGAAAAAGGGCAAAAATTAAACATGTCTCTTCTACTCTTAGCCCCAATGGTCTGTACAGAGTTCCAACAGAAGCAAAACATATACATCACCGCATCACTTTTCGCCCGATTCTGTTACTTTTAGTTTGTGTGACTCAGCAGACCACCGGAGTTCCCCGGCTCGAGGTAATGGGGTTCATGAGCCCTAAAGCGACTTTGCCGGTGTCGGTTAAATAGTTCGCATTTTTGTCTATATTTGAAACAATATAACTTCTTCCCCATCCCACGCAGCAAACCATTACACAGAGGTACTAAAAGCTCAATGTCTTGAGATTTATTCTGCATTAGAATGGTTAATTTCTGTGCCTTGGTTTTTGTTCTAGACAAGTGTTTGTAGAGTACCCAATTTGTCCTATTTTAGTTACACACTTATGAATAAAAGACTGTCTATTTAAAAACGGCACAACGGATCTCTCCAAAATATGTGTTAAACTGACAATGGGGAATCCCCCTGCTGCAACTAAAATTCCACTGTTGGTGCACTGTGACATACAGACCCTAACAGGGACTTCGTATTGTTTTTCAACAAAAAAAACAACAGATAAGTTTAAAAAATTCATAATTTTTAAAATCTTCTCAATGTTAAAAATACCCCTTTCAGTCACTAAACAATCGGGTAGCTCTTGTAAGCCAAGTATCACATTCAATAAAAAATATAAGTTCTTCATTAGTGTGACGTTGAACAAAGAATGCTTATTTCAAGAAACCATTACATACATGAGATTTAATCAATTACTAAGACTCAGTCAAAAAGAATGTTCAACCTTACAGCCTTTTAACATAAAGCAAAAAAAAAAAAGGAAATAAACAATGAAAGAAAATGTATTTACCTTTTCTTCTCCAGGTGCAAGAAGAGCTACTTCTGACTGGGCTTGGTCTAGTTTAACCTGAGAGTTAACCAAAAATTGAATGAAATTTCAAAAAGCTCAGTGCATATTCGACAGTCATGATTCCCAAAACACACAATAGATCCAAATGAGAATTTTCAAACTGTCAATTTTTGTGCATTTCTGACTGTGATGCATTGTTTTATTGGTTAGGCTTGTTGGGTTTTTTTCTCAGGCTGTGAACGTATCAGAAAGAAAATTTGCTCAAGAATGTAGATCGGTTTTTAACCCAATGAACCTGTGACACCTATATATCAGTGTGCAAGTTATTTGCCCTTGCCCCAAAGCACTGATATATCGGTGCCTGTTCGTCTACCATAGAACAGTAGAAAGCCCCACATACTCAATAAAAATTAATAATAATAATAATAATAATAATAATGAAGATCATTTCTATAGCGTCCACTCCCGTGTAAACACAGCTCTAGGCGCTTCACATAAATGCATGTACGAACAATATTCACGCACGCGAACGCACGCACGCAAACAAACACACACAGACTCACGCACACATGTGCACACACATGCACGCCAAAAACACGCGCACACACACACACACACACACACACACATACACATCTACTTGCTTATCACACGCGCATGCTTACACATCGTTACGAAATGAGCACATACAGATACATAACAAAATAATATACACAATGCAATTTGCAAAATACATAAATGGAAACACAGTCATTTACATAACATTGTACTGAACATGAATCTACTGACATAAAACTGATGTCATTAAATGTGTTTTTAAAGACGTTTTAAATTTAGACTCAGACGTTGTATGTCTCAAGGGTTGGGGAAGAAAGTTCCAAACTGATGGAGCGAGGTGGGCAAATGATCTTTCAGCTAATTTTTTACCTCCTTCTGCCCACATGAGAATTAAACTAGCATGCACTTACTGAACATGCACTTAGTGAACATGCACTTAGCAAACAGATTTTCAGGCATATATATACATATATTTATATGAATATATGTATACATGTTTAATAATATATTTTGTATATATATGAATATATATGTGACACTCCCGGTCAAAATCAGTCATATGAAGGAAATTTCAAAATTTAGTTTAAGTAATTTCCTAAAACTATCAGCATTTCACTACAATTTGAAAAAAAAAATGCAGTAAATAAGACAATAGTTGACGAAAATATGGAACTGTTAAGTATGCAAGGTGCAGAAACACGAAAAGGAGAAAATGGGCTCTGAAGTTGAGGAACATGTTTCCATAGCAACGTGGGTCTTAGAATTGAGATAGAGTCTTAAAATTTGGCAGTTATCTTGGCTATCCCACTGCAAGGTAACACACAGAAGTAAAAAACTATTCATTAACAGAAAAAAAGCTTATGGACAAAACAAAATTTTAACGAGAATGGTCTTCACGTCAAATGAAACAACAAGTTAGCATTGTAGACCCTACGAGCTACCAGAAACTAAATTTTCAAAGTAGCTGTATGTCAAATTTATCTGTTCCCGTATGAAAAGCCTGTGTCTCCTGTGAATTTTGGTACCATATTTTTATATCTCTGTCAATTTTTTAGAAAATGGCAACTGTTTTAATTTAATATATAATCGAATATTGCTAACTGGCTGCAACCCAATGTTTGACAGATAATAAAAGAGTACCAAGTGTCCCAAACATATCCACAGTAACAGAGTAAAATCACTATAACCTAGAAAAGGAGCCTAATTTTTTTCAAGATCAGTATTTTATTGCCTCAAACACGATGATAATATGTCATTATTTCGATTTAAAAAAACAACACTAGTGAGCGTTGTCCCGGCCAGTGCCACACCGGTCCCCATGGCAAGGGAGTTGGCTCTAACTGTAGTGTACTGAGTGCTCTCAGAGTTTCCCCGGAAGGGTTGATGCAAAATAATTCCAAGCCAACGACTTTATTCTAATTACCTTTTTGAGTCTGTATTTTACATAATTGGTGTTAAAAATGATCTTTGAAAACTTGTACGCTTTTTTAAAGGCTTTCTATTAAAACGCCAAAGGCCAAAAATATACCAGCAGGTCAAATGCTCGAAAGGGTTTGAGGTCCAAATTCCTTTATCTTGTCATCCAAGCTCACAACAAACCATACACCTCCAAAATAAATCAAAATAAAATATTTATAGTCGATTATAGTTGTTTACTTTGATCTTAAATAAAGCAGAAGACATTTAACTTTCAATAGATCAACAACAAAAAATTCATGGAAAGTTACCTTTTAGCCTTTCGAGCCTCGTAGCGCCAAATAGCATATTGTGTCTTACGACTGATTATGACCGAGGCGGACAGATATTATATATATTATATATGCAAATACTGTTATTTATTTTCACTCATTCCATCATGGCAACAAGTAAAATAAACCATATTATGTAGAAGCTGTTGGCATAGAGAAACAGATCTCTGTTCTTAAGTTCAGTCTCTCAACCCTTCCCTGCAAGTAGGGTATTAGTAAATCCACCTGCTCTACACTACAACAAGTGTGACCAAGAGGAGGGGCAATCCCTCTCATGGTGGAACAGTACATCTATGCTCAGAACTTTGAACAGATCAGCTGTGTTCAATAGTTATAATAGTATACTTTTTAAATGTCAAACTTACACAAAGAATCTTAAAAATAATTTAATATAAACATTTTTCTCACTCACTTGATCTCTAGCAACAAGAGTGACCCGAGCTCCAGTACGAACCGCCTGGCATGCCAGGGCTTTTCCAATGCCACTGGAACCACCAGTGATCTGTGGAGTGATTCGGCATGATTAAATTTGTTTGTTTGTCAACCTGGTGGTTCTTTTCTCACATCATGACAAAGTATCTGGTCAGATTCAGGTAATTTTCATTTCAAGCGTCTACCCCCAAAGAACTAATCTGTTCCAGATGAGGGCAAAACTCAAAGACAAATACTATACCTTGAGAATATTTTAAAAACACTTTGGAAGTAGAAAGTCAAAGAAATGGTGGCCTTTTTTGCACAACACTACCAGGGAAAAATGTGTAAAAGTACACACAAAAAAACCACTATATACTGTAGTAATCATTTGTCTTACCAAAAGAATTAATCTAAGAAAACTTGATAACAATCTTTCTTTAACTTCAGGCACATGTCTATGTACAACAACAAAAAAGCCATGCTCTGTCTGGCATAGTCTTGATTCTCATGTGAACATTGCTTCCATGTGTTGGGCTAAATTAAACGCAGTCAAATCTACCTTACCTCTCTAGACAGAAATCTGTCATAATGAAATCTCCCCGCTACCCCCTTGATATATTCCTAAATAATTACCGCTATAAAAAACCTGCTCAACCCGGAAAGGGAAAGAGTGATTCCTTTCCCTCAAAAGCTTTTTACCAAACACGGAAAATGCTTTGCCCACTCAGCCCTGTGTAAAACTTCCAAGTTTAGTTCCATCGGCTCTAACTTTTAACATTTGGTCAGGGTGGTGTGGGTGTGAAACCTCAAATCTTACACAAGTGGCGCTCCTACATGTGTCCCTTTTGACCAGTTTATGTAATATCCACCCTCTTTTGGACCAATTGAACAGGGTAATTTATTTCGCAAGGTAGTAATCAAGCAAAAGAATGATTAGAGTTATAAACAGCATTGAATACAAGTTTGTCATTGAGAGTAAGAAAAGTTCAATCTTCCGAACACACTTGATTTTTTAGAATGCTTTGCTCTGCCTTGGGAATCAGAGACATATTTAGAATAATAATAATAATAATAATAATTTTTTGGTTTTAATTGACATATATATATAGCACTCAACCCTGAATAAAGTACACAGGCTCTGAGCACTTTACATTCAGTACAATACAACAGTAACATAAAACGTGTTCTGACCAACAGAAAACCTCTCTAAATATTCATCTAATCAATTTAAAAACAGAAATGACTTCAGCTGACATTTGAATGAATCAAAGGATTTGATCTCTCTTAATCTACTGGGCAAAGCATTACAGATTTTGGGACCTTGATATTCAAATGCCCTTTCACCCATTATTTTAAGTTTCATATAGATCTAGATGGTAAAAGAAATTTCTTTTTGTCCACTGGTGACCTTAAACTGCGAGTTGGAATGTAGTCTCAGCAGATTTGATAAATATGATGGCGCAGTATCATTCAAGCATTTGTAACATAGAGTGGCCAACTTGTACATAATTCTTTTCTCAACAGGCCCTAGGTGGCTTACCACATGTGGTTGGGGAATGACTCACCAGTGCTTGGTGCTCGTTTCCTCATGTAGGCCAACTACTGATTACCATGCCGTAGAGCCTTAATTTGTTGGGGGGGCTTTTTTTTATCAAACAGCCTTCTTAAAATTGAAAGCATGCACTGGCCTCAACTGTGCCCTGCATGATGGAAGTTATCACAGACACTCTCAAAAAGAGTAAATGAATACTGATTGATTGTAGGAATGAAATTTTATTTTTCAATCTTTTTAACGAAAGACCATTCATTGTTGAAATTTTACAGAGTAATTTGCTTTGATTTGCATACAAAAAGGAAGAAATATTGAACAACACAAGTCAAACTGACATTTTAGAGGGACTATCTCTACACCACCAATTTGAAGGCGAAGTGGCTAGACGGCTAGACTGAAAGTCTAGCCGTACTTAAGTACGG